AAAATTTTTTAAGAAATAAAACCCCAGAGTTGGATGGATAAACGAAAATGTGATACACTGAAAACCCACACAAAAAGTAAAGTAAAATTAGAAAAAGAAAAAAAAGTTACAAAACCGTAGAGGAATGAAAAAAGATTGGGACGCATTGTGTGCGTTGAAATCTACAATATATAAGCGATACTTCTATTAGATCTGGAAAGATGCATATATAAATATATGTATACCCACAAAAGAAAGAAAGAAAGAATCGCCACACGGTCCACATTGCACACGTATACTGTTAGTCCCTGTCGTTCGCACCCACACATCCGCGATTTATATACACCAATAACCAATACTCCAAGTTGCCTCAGCTGGATGCTGTATGGGCATTTGTATACATGTACGTGTGTAAAGGTCGTCGCAGTGTCGCGCCGCACACCTCGCTCTACCACCTACGCGCGCGCACCATTATCAGCACGCTGCTCTCTCTGCAGCAGAGCAAAAGAGAGAGAGAGAGAGAGAGAGAGCAAAATAAAGGAAAACGGAGATACATCCACGTTTAAAAAAAAAAAAAAAAAAAAAACAAGATATTACAATTGAGATAAGGAAAGAAAAAAAGCTCTCGACGATACCAAGGTGTCTCGTGTGTTACTTGCATATATTAAAACGTGTGTCTAAGATAATTTATATATATATATATATAAAGTTAATACTCACCATGCAAAGTGATGTGTATGCACTCGCAGAGGGGAAGAAAGGGAGGCGACGACGAGACTCTTGAAACACCGGAGGGATGATGCTTTTTTTTTTCTTCGACTCTTACTTGTATTGTGCGTGTAATATTATTTCTTCCGCAGCGTTGATGTTTTATTGTATGGACGAGGGATCGTACACGCGTACGTGACAATTGAAATGAAAAAGAAGAAGAAACTAGCACTTTTCTGTATACATGTAGGTAAAATGTAATTTATGATATTTAAATTACACGCGCACTTGCCGAGCTTTTACAATTTTTACAGAAACTTGCACATAAACAACTCACACAACGTCTGCGTGAGATAAAATCGGGGTAGGTAGGTATATTGTTATTTACATTTAACGTATCGTTTAAGTAAACACGAATGTATGTTTGTTGTACAACACGTCACATTGTATCACATAAGCGGTGCCGGCGAAAAGCTACGTATATATACGCACACTGCACATATACACCACTGATAGATGAGAAGTGACAATGAGAGGAAAAGAGAGAGGAAGAGCTGTCATCTCACTCGGGCGCTCGCGAGAGCGGCTTCACAGCTGATGCGACGCTGCTGCAGCATCCTCATCTTCTGGGCTACGCCGGGAGAGTGCAGCGAGTGTATATAGGTATAATATATCGTTTTGTCACTCGCGGGGAGGAGCAACAACCCCGTTATAATATGCGCACGGCAAAAATTACAATACTTGTATCTACATGTATCTTTCACTTGTTGTATTCGTAGGATTTCTTTTTTTCTTTTCTTTTCTTTTTTTTTTTTTTTTTTTTCATGTACACACAAACAAAAACATCACCGATCCGAGCACATGCACTTAATTTTGGAGTTTGTCAAAAGAGAGACAATAAATAATAAATCCACCACGATACTTGTTCGCGCACATGTGTACACCCACTGCATAGACTCACAATCGCGTACAGACAGAAGAAACATGCATTATATACTTACATACATGTGTATGTATAAAGTAAGTAGGTATAGTCTTGTTATCCGGAGATTCCGGAGTCACCGCTGATGCTGGCCGTCGAAGAGGTGGAGCGGGAAACCAAGCGTCGCCGACGGCGCATGTCCGTACGGTTGAGATGAGGAACAGTTGTGTTGCAGCGTCCGTATACATGTATATTTATCATCATTATTATTGTTATTATTGTTATTCGTCCTCGTACGTGGATAAGAGATAACAGCACAGAGCGGCAAAACCAGTGGCTTAATAAGTATGGGTATGTATGTAAGTAGCCAGGCAACAAGTCGCGTATATTTTTTCGATCGGCTAGCTGCAACAGTCCAGCAGCAGGTCACGCACGAAACTCACTACACGGCTTTACACGCGAGACTTCGTACGTATATAGGTATAATATGTGATATATAAGAGGTTCTTCATGTGTATTATACCTACATACATGTAAAAGCAGCGGTCCGCAACAACCGAACCGACGACGATCTTATACATATATATAATACATGTGGTATATAAGTAAAAGAGAGAGAGAAAACTGTGTGTGCTGGCTCGCTCACAAATTTTATATGTATATATATAGAGGGTTTATAGGATATGGGCCCGCACAGCAGCAAAGAACGAGCGAAGGAGAAGAGAGAGAAGGTATACCCATGTATATATGTATTATACACTCACGCACACTCATCTCAATGCAGGCGAACGACGAGAGAAAGGATAACGCACGCGAGAACCTCCCCGGAGCGCGGTCGTCTGTCTCTGTAGAGAACACGTGCAGGATTTTATTTATTCATTTATTTATTCATGCGCGAGTTTTTTACATATTAATTTACATCCGGGAAAAGCTTAGGTATCGGTATCGGTATCGGTAAGTACCAACCGATTTTCATACCGATCACGGGGACCAATCGCTCTGTACCGACGATCGGGAGCATTGTTGTCTTTAGCTGTAATGAAAAGAAAGGGAGACCGGTTTAAAAGTCCAGCCGTGCAGCAGCGCATGTTGTCGCGGGTACTCATATATATACGTATATTACATACACTACACGTTTTATGCTTGACGACCGGAAATACGTGCGATATCGTCGGCAAAGTCTTAGAATCGCTTTAGCGCTTCAAGGACGATGGTACGTATACCGATCTTTCTTTGTTCCTCTTTTGCGAGTTTAGCGTATAGTAAAAATGCGTGGCTGCTTGAAAAAAAATCGGTTGGAACGTACCATTGACATCTACGCTGAATCAAAGCGCGACGATGTGCATGACGAATTTTTCCGGTTTTCGGAGCTCGATGAAAATCTTGACTACAGCTTTCAGTCTGTAGATTTAATGAATGAAACTTGGTGAGATTATAGTTTCCGATCAGTGTATAGGGACGCGGTAAAACAACAAGTGGCTTTAATACCCGTGTAATTTTTGTACCTGCAGTCCGGTGAAACGCAAACATTGTAATATCGATACGAAAAGCAAACGAGATACTAAAACATGTATAGGCATTGGCGTGGAAAAACTATACTCGTTTTGCGTCCCACTAAATTAACAATATACCTACCTATCTATTCACCGAATCGCTTCACCTCGTAGATGCGGCGGTAATAAATATACCTATAGCTCCCAGACCGGAGCCGATTTGTGCCTCAATCCCACTGAAACCTGCTTGCGGATCGATCGAAGATAAGCCCCTACAAAGTGCATCTCTCGATGCAGTTTCCAGGCAGGCGCTCTTCGCGTCGTGTGAGTTGAATCTTGGTATTATTGTAAGTTTGGACAAACCCTAAATGCACACAAATTTTCATGGGACGAAGCTTTTTTTTTTCAAGTTGCGTAAATTTATACAAAGCAAAAACACAAACGTATGAACGAAACAGTTGTAAAAAGAAAAATATTTCATATGAGCGTAATCGCGTCTGTACCGGTGAGTGAGAGAGAGAGAGAGAGAGTCGATACGATTATAAATTGAACAAAAGATTGCCAAGCGCTTAAAACGAGCTTTACCAGGAGATGCGTTGATGGTCAAAAGTGTCCACGGGAGGACGTATCGAGGGGAAGGAGGAAAAACTAGTGATGCGATGACGTGGTAAGAAAAGTGTTTATATTGTTGGGTAAACATATTTATGCTCGAGTGTTTCAGTAAAGAGTTAAAAACAAAACAATAACAAAAAAAACATCACCACTGTAACATTTGTTGAGGATAGAAAGAGATGTGAGTATAATAGTACAGGGAAAGATACCGGAAAACTGATAATAATCATATGTATATATTGTTTATTCAATGAGCGCGTGAGACGCTTCAATCAGTACCACGCATCACCATTGAGGTGGGAAAATAAATTTTCAATTTAATAAATAAGACAATTATACAAACGATTGCATTAAGAGATAGCTAATGAGTTGCATAAAACACGTACAACAGTTGACAAATAACATTTGGAGAAACGTTGCGTTGGGGGCAGGCCGTATGAAAAGTTAACTTGGAATTCGTCGCAGCGTAAAATAAGCACAGGTAGTCTCACTATTAGTAACACATGTATATGTTTTCATTAGTAATTCAAGTATAGTTATATTACAAACGTTTTGGAAATTTTTATTACATTCGAAGAATACAAAAAGCTTACACTTATACGGATGGGTATGGGAAATTTTTTCCAACTTTTGCAAGCATGGAAAGCATTACTGGTACCGTATACCATTTGCTCTCTCGCGCGGGTATTTTTAGTTCAAATAATGGCCAATAGAACAAGTACCGCCAGACGACGCTGATTCGGAGCGAATGGGTAACCTGCTATTGGTAAGGCAGGACTTCTGCATTTACCAACTGTAGAAAAGTCTATCAACGCCATCTAGCGGAGTTTGTATAGTCACAGTCACAGTGTGGTGTCGTTAGATATATATATATATATATCTGATGCGCACGTGTGCCACGTGTGGTAATAGTACACACTGTACAATTGTACATACAGGACAGTTGTACTGTTATAGTCTGCCAGTCAGCCTGCAGTCTCAAGTCTCAACATGTTGTTAACATGGCTCTTAGTTCTTATACGATAATTTATACGAAAAGTGGTTTGAAATCGCCATTATTTAACAGTATAGTTTTGAGGTTGCAAGTGGAGAAAAGAACAAAGAAAAGTCAACCGTTGGATACATGCCACGACCTTGGTGTATTTTTTCATTGTGGCCACGTGATGTAACAAGTTTTTTGATTGATACAAGACACATTGAACGATAAAACGTGCAACTGTTAACAATCACTTTTAACAGTAAAAGTAATCGAAATGATGGGCACGTTGGGCTAGGTGGTTGAATTTTATTTTAAAAAACTGTTATTTTGTGTCGTGCGTGTGATCTTGATGATTTGCATTATCTCATTCAAGTTCTTTGTGTCTGTCAGCCATTGTTTTTAACGACATGAAAGTTTGACAAGTTACAGCACATTAGATAAGAAAATTTCTAAATTACATTCTGTTTTTTTATTATTTCTTCATTCAAGTTCAACTGTCACGTGATAGTGGGATTCCCCGTAAGTAGCTTATGTAAATATTTTCGTCATTGTCGATCACGAATATTACATGTTTATAAGTACATGTTTACAGGTTTTACAAGTGATACTACATACCGTTACGACTGCTTATTTATTTCCATTTTCACGTATTTTTATTTTTTGGAAGAAAAAAAAAAAATAACGCTGGATTCATCGAAAATATTTACTGGTACATCTACCTGTATGTATTAACGATACTGCTTCTGTGTCTCTGCTTCAGAATTCAAAATTAACTGTTGAATGAATGTCGCAACGTAAAAAACGCCACATAAAGCCGATTTTGCCGTTGTGAGTATAAACGTATGTAGTACCTATAAATTAGCTCAAATTATTTACTAAGAAATGGTATTAAATTAATTATTATGCGTGATAAAATGGAAGTCGTTTTTAACGTTTATTTATACGTTATTTACGTCATTTACCCATCTGATAGATCTCACCTGAGATTTATCAGGTGGGTACGCATAATGCTTTTCCTTAAATTTTTATATATGTAACATTCTTATTTTTGACTCGCGCTCTTGTAGTAAAATACATACACACCGCATTCAAATAACTTGTGCTTGAACTTTTCATGAATTTCATTGTAATAAGTGGCTGTTGATTACATGGATGTGATTGTTTAACTTAAATCTATGCTGTGGCAATTAATTCATCCATAAATAATTACGTTGGATTATTATTAACTGATAATAACAATTAACAGAGTCAGAAACTTAAAATGGCACCGAGCAAAGTGAAAAATTATTGTAATAAAATCAGTAAAAATGAATTTATGAAAAAGACAGTCAAGTAAGTATCATAAAGCATCAATTTTGCTATTTCCGAAAAAAGCATACAATTCCAATATTTCAATTTATATTACAGAAACAAAAATAACTTTTTTGTACTCCCACCAAGAGTTATCTTACCAAAATATCCAATTCCAAACGATTTATCTGTAGTTGTCTGGAAGAATCTAAAGCCGTTTCCTGGAATGACGGAAAGAAGTGAACAGTTTTTACGAATCTTAACTACAATAAAGAATGGAAAATATGGAATACAGGAAGATAACTATCTAGAAATGTTGAAGCTTATGCTATATGTAGAAACAATACAAAATCAAATTGATATGAAAAGATACGACCAGTTAGAAATAAAGATTGAAAGAGTCTCGGCAAGCTTATCCGATAGATTTAAGATTTATGTACAGGGTTTGGGAGAAAATCGACCATCGATTAGACCTGAAGACGAAATCGAGGTTCGCGGTTACGATACAAAAGTCAAATATGTTTTGAGAATCATTAATGTAGCGAGTGATTATATTCTTGTCGCAGGAACAAGGAGGTAGATACATTCTCATGATTAAAAATGGTGTAGTTTCTTCTGTTTTACAGTTTTAATGGTAAAAATGTCTTATTTTTTCAGATTTACAGATGACTTTGACTCTGAGAATCTGTATGACATTAGATTTCGAGGGTGTGATTATACTACCAAGTGCAGTCATTATGCAGTATCATTAACGAAGTTTCATAAAATCACACCCTACTTTTTTCCTAAAACATGTATTCCTTTTACTACAAGAAAAACGGACAGGTAAGTTGGTTTATTTATTTTTTTCTAATTTTTTGAAAAAATATTTCTATCTAAATTTATTTTCAAGTGATTTTTGGTTCAATGAATCGATAAAGCATAATCCTCAACAAAAACAAGCGGTGTTAAATATAATAGCTAGATCATCAAGAGATGCACCGTACATACTGTATGGACCACCTGGCACTGGAAAAACTGCCACATTGGTGGAAGCAATATGTCAAGTGATTATTGATTTCTATTCTTGACTTTGAAAATTTTTATTTTATTTTTTTAATACATTTAATTACCTAATTTTCATCTGTTTTCATGCTTTGCAGATATTTTATAACAGTTCTTGTGATACTCACGTACTTGTGTGCACACCATCAAATTCTGCTGCAGATGAAATTACAAAACGCTTATTAAAGTACATTGATGATGAGAATTCTATTCACAGAATGTATAGCCCATCAAAAGAAGGGTTCGCACAAATTCACTGAAAATTCTTTTTTTTTTTTTTTTTTTTTTTTTTTTGTACAAATAAAATTATTCAAAGTAACTTTTTTAACAGATCAACCATTGATACAGCCATTGTAGGATGTTCTAACTATGTTGATGGTCAAGTTTTAATGTTACCAGCGGATGCTGTCAAAGAAAAGTCAATTATCCTTTGCACCTTGTGTGCAGTAACACGGTATGCATAAATTCATTTATTAAAATGTTAATTAGAAACCTAGAGTTTTTAATTTTTAGTAAATATTTTAGGTTGTTATTCATGGGATTCAGAGACAAACACTTTTCTTACATATTTATTGATGAAGCAGGACAAGCAACAGAGCCTGATTCTCTGATACCTTTTAATTTACTGACTAGCCAAAGAAAAGGTAGGATTGGAAAATTACATGGCCAGGTTATCATTGCAGGAGATCCCAATCAATTAGGACCCAGTGTCATGTCCAGGCTGGCTGAACCTATTCTTGGTAAGCTTTTCTACTTGCCTATTATTATTTTTTTTTTCCCAATAGTAAAATATTTGCGTTATTCTTAGGACGATCATTACTGGAGCGATTAATGGACTGTGAACCATATAGAAAAAATGAAAACAATGACTATAATCCAAGCTTCATTACAAAATTAGTTCGAAACTACAGAAGTCACCCAGATATCATTCGTGTATCCAATACATTGTTTTATGATGATGAGCTGCGATCTTGCGGGAACAATGACACTGTTAAAAGAAGTGAAAATTGGTATCACCTTGCACGAAAAGGATTTCCTATTATTTTTCATGGTGTTGAAGGAGTTGAGCAAAAAGAAATAAAGTCTCCAAGGTGTGGACATAATTTATTTTTTGATACTTTTTTTAGTTTGAAAATTGATAATTTTTTTTTTTTTCAGTATTTTTAATACAAGTGAAGTAGAAATCGTTATCGATTACGTGATGAAACTAGTTGGAAAGCATTTGGGAAATAGCGTTGTCAAACAGAGTGACATTGGAATCATAACGCCTTTTACTCAGCAGAAATTAAAGCTGAAGAATGCTCTTGCACAAAAAAATTTTGAAAACATCGATGTCGGCACGGTTGAACTGTTTCAAGGTCAAGAAAAAGATATAATTATAATGAGCACCGTGAGAAGCAAAATTTTTAAACACGACGAGCGCTATCACATAGGGTTTTTGTCGAATCCTAAGCGTTTCAACGTGGCTCTAACAAGAGCAAAGGCTTTATTGATAGTCATTGGGGATCCGAATATTTTAAAAGTGGATTCACACTGGAGATATTTCTTGAAATTCTGCCAAAGCAACGGAGCTTGTAAGGGTATTAAATTTCTTATCCAAGAAAGTTTGCATGAACTGTCCTACGAAATAAAGTATCGAAATAAAAAACAAGAGCAAGTCCCATTTAACTGTAATTTAGGCGTCATAAACATTGGTAATTATTTTTTTTTCTATTGATTTAAGGGGATGTGGAGCCTTAATTTTTACTGTAGCTTCTTTTTCTTCTTTAGACGATGGTGTACCTGATTCTGAAGATAGTGAAAACGAAGAGTATTATTCTGTGGGTGATCAGATAAATAATTCCTCCTGTCCACAAAATTATAACGGAGCAAGCAACCACTATTACAACACTCCTAGAAATACAGATTCAGCATCCAATTCATTGTTTGATATTATCATACAAAAATTCCAAGAATTAAATATCAATGATTCTAATACGAAAAAAAAAAAAAAGCCTAAAAAGAAAAGTAGGGGTGATTATGTGTAAGTATTTGTATATCAAAAAACTGTGACTGCCTTAAAACTAAAATACGTAAAAAATTGTTAAAGATGCGTGTGAATAAGTAACTTATTTTAAGAGATGAGAATTTTACATATTATATTATTTTTCTATTTGATACCACGTGATACGAGTATATAAGACTTGCAACATTTTGTAAAGTTGATCATTCTCCATTATTTTGTTATCGACTTAGCAGATTGTGATTAAAGAATAGTTGAAAATGATTAAAAATTTGCCATTGCATATTTCTTTACATAGACACAGTTGATTATAAACCATATTTTCTGTATTAGTATTTGACAAAGATCATTCAAAGTTTTAGAACTGTAATGGATATTTTTTATAAATACAATTTGTACTAATAGAAATTCACTTGGTTGTAATATTTATTTTGTTACTTATCAGTATTTGTTAAAATAAAAAAAAAAAAAAAAATTGTAACAAAGTGTGTATGATTTAAACCGTTGTAGTGTTACAAAATAACTCATTATTTTTTCTTACGAAATAAAACTTGTTTGAACGTTAATAGTGATTTTATTTATTATTAAACTATAATAATATATTTACATGCTCATGATAAACAATAAAAAATCAAGTAGTTATACTTTATTGATACAAAATAAAATTATTAGAATCTTTTATGCAAAAGTACGTAAATACTCTTCATTGATTTAAATTAAAAAAATTTTTACTGCTATTGACTATTTCAACGTAAAAAGCAGTGTTGCCATTTTTATTTTTTATCCAAAATAGTTACAAAATAAGCTTACTCCAACAAAAGTTTGGCTTTATTTCCGTTTACTTGAGTTCCGAGGCCGTGTCGTAGGGCGAATTCACGTTTAACATTAGCAAAGAGGATATCAGTCAGTAAGAAAATTTGTGCAATAGCAAAGGCCAGTGTGACACCAAAGTAGAAGTTTGCATTGGCTGATCGCAAATATATCCATTGGTGCCAAACAGTTGGGGCAAACACTGTACAAAATAGAATGAAACAGCCAACAAAAAATTCTTGCTGCATATCTGAAAATACATGATAGTTTTTATATTTTTCTGGCATATCAAAAAAAAAAACAATTTCCTTGAGATCATATAAAACTTACGTCTAAATAAGTGCCTCCAAAGGGGTAATAAACTGAGGTAAAATCCAACATCTCCAATGCATGGGTAAGACTTGAAAATAGCATCCAAGGCCAAGTAAGAAAAAGCCAGTAGCATTGGATCTTTGCGCAGCCTCAGTGCTAGAGGAACTATGAATAATAAACTAACGTTGATTTGAAAAGATGCAATAAACAGAGAGCGAAAGTGCTCAAACATTTCGGTAAAAAAATACCAATACAGTCCAATATTAGGCCGTAAATCTGGTACTAACAGGATAAAACCAATAGTACTGTGCAAAAATGACCAGCTGCCTACTATCAGATAAGATATGTAAATTAAACTAGACAGCGTTATGATAAACGTACAAATAATTTTTACGATTTGCTTTGGTACATTTTCTGATTTAGAGTCTTTTATAATGTAGATTGCAGCAGGTACTATTAGGCATATGGGGTATAAACCTTGCAATGTTAAAAGACTTATCGACAAAGAGAATATTGGCACTGAACGTTTTATCATGGCTAGCAGGGTGACTGACAGCAAGAAGTTTGTGAACACAGTAGTTGTGAGTCCCACACAGTTCAATACAATGTATGGATTAAACAAATAAGCTGCTGTGACGTAAAAAATTGACGACGTATTGGGAGCAGTAATAGATGAAAAATTATCATCTTGATCACTCTTGGTTTTGTCGCGCAAGGCTTTTTCACTTTTATCTCTATCAACCTGCAAATTTTCAAACATATCTTTTCACGTCTTTTAAAGCAAAATAAAATTAATTAACATACAAGCTAAAATACATCAAGATCTAGACACCCATTTTCTTAGACATGCTGCAATGAATACTTACGGATTCACGGATGTAGTAAGCCGCCGTGATACCTAGTATAAAAGCTGTCATGACATCAAACATAACAAATAAGAGCCACAACCGGTACATGGGAAAGTTCTTCTGAACAAAGTCGAAAATGACTAGGCTGAGAGGAGTTTCATGAAACAAGTCTCCACTATAAGGATCCACTCCTATGCTACGAAGGTACACACCTTCTGTGACTAAAAAGTAAAACAGGAATATAAATTTTGAAAACTGCATTTTTATAAAAAATCATTACCTCGTTTCCAAGAGTTTAAAGCTGTGGACACTTCCACTCTATCAGCAATGACATTCTGATAGTCAGAATTCATTAAAAGTAGCCTTACAACGCCAGCCAGGAAAAAGTAAACAATTCTGTGATCCATTTTCATTGTTTAATTATTGACTCAACTTTTCGATAAAACGAATTTTTTGAAAACAGATTCTTATTGTCACTATAGTTTTATAATAGTACGGTATTTACAAAGCATTTTGTTAAATTAAGTTTATCAGAACACTGGAAAATGTGATAGGATCTGACGTGAACATATATTATAAACGTATATCGACATGTTTAACCTGCATGTACTAACTGTAGCTGACTGTAGTCGGTAGATTCCATAGAGATCATAGAGAAGATACAAGGATCCTTAATATCCTTATATCTCTATGGTAGATTATCCTGTCCGCGTTTGTTTATACAAAGAACACTCTGGCACCGACACTTATTAGTACAGGTTGACGCCAGCGCCACCCGATCATGCGGCATTACCAATAATTGGTAACCAATTACCACATGTCACCACAACCTACGTAATTTATTGCGGAATACGCCCCTGATTTTATCATTATAGAAAATAAGGCACGGTGCAAGATATACGTGAAGTTATGTTATGTGTATTAATTATAGTAATCATTACTAAGTAGTGCCATATGGCAAGTTTTCAATTTATTTTTTACCCGAATATGAATATCGACCTGAAAGAAATCTTGTTAAAGACATCGTAAAAGATGTCTTTAAAAACTTTGTGTTTGCTGGGATTATAGTTGCGGCTGGTTTATAATTGAAAAATAGCTCTAGAGCCTAAACTGCCTAAAGGCCAAAAAAATGTCGACCGCTAGATGGCCCTGATCCAAATAATTATTACTTATATACTTATACTTATAGTAGAGCAATTTAGTCAATTATAAACCAGCCGCAATTAATTTTATAGATATTATATAAAAAGTTGACATTGTTTGTGCTACTTGCGGCAAGTGTGCAATCTATTTTTTACTTGAAAATTGACCTCCAAAAGTATAGATATTCTACTTAAATGGTTAAATAAAATCGACCATATGGCACTACTTAGTAGTGATTATACATAACTACATAAAATACTGCGTTTTGGTCATAAAATACAAATAAAATACTGCGTTTTGGTCATAAAATTGTGAATTTCACGCAGGTAAAAAACGTGAATTATTTTTAAAAATTAAGCGATTATATATTTAATAAAGACAAATAATGGTACATTTATAATATATATATATTTATTTTTCATATGCATGATTTTATGTACAAAACAAAAACTTTATGTGAAGATTGTCACTTAATTGAGTTCCAATTTGGCGACGTGAAAATTTTTGAGAATAAAATTTTGTTCGTTTCACGTTATAGAGTATGAATTCCACCTGTTAATTGAACTTTCCGATTTTTATACCTTTTAGATATATCACTTTCAATCTGGAAAAAAAAGAAGTAAAATTATTGTTTTGAGAATTCGCAGCAAATGCACATGTTGAAACCTACTTCGGATTGCAGTTCTTTCGTTTTTTGCACAATTAATTTCAACATTGGCTGAAGATCAAGAGCCTGCTGTTTTATTTCCTCTTGCTTATTATGTGTCAACTTTTGCAATGACTCCATTTTTTCAACCAGCATTTGTTTCTGTTTTAAATTTGATGCCAGGACATCGACGTACCTTAAAAAGAAACAAAATGAGCATTCATAAAGGAGTCAAATGATATAAGCCATGAAAAAAACTTTGTATACCTGGGTGAGTGTTTAATATTATACAAGTGCTGTGCTTTGTTGTCAAGCATTTCGGATAGTACAACTTGAACATTGTCTAGCATATTTTGGGTGCTGTCTAGTGTTGCCATTTGAAGAAGAGACGACTCTTGCATGTTACTCATACTCAACAAGTTTTGAGTACTATCGCTTTTAAACTCGTACAATCTTAACTTTAGAAATGCTTCAAGCTTTAAAAAAAAAATTTTGTGCATCTGTCAAACTTATTTTTATTTTAAAAATATATTACTCATTGTCTAGTAAAAACGTACCTCCATTAACTGATCAACAAATTCAGTTCTAGTCTCTGGATTATCCAAAATCGTCCAAGCTTGCGATCCACTTGCATTTCCTCCGTCATTCCCATCAGCCTCAACGACAATACCCGATTCTTCAAGTGCAATTTCAAAATTTATGTCATCAGCTGGCACGAAAACTTCATCATCTGCGATTCCACCCCAATCTATTGCACCTTCAGCATTTTCCAACTGAATGTCATCTCCGAAGTCAATTTGACCATCTAAATCTAAGTTGTTAAAATCTATGCCATCTACCTCTACAGGGCCAAAGTCAATCTAGAAAAAGTTAAAATATAATTTAAATTTTGCATCGGCTTATGTTCAACCGCTTAAGAGTTACGTACTGTATCATTTTTTTCATTATTTCCAACATCATCATCTACATTGAAATTCAAACTGGGTTCATTAATAGATAAGGGGGCCTCACCATAAGTCCATTCGTACGTCGTAGTATTTCCTTTTTCTTGAAAGACAAAATCATTTCATTTCACAAGTGTTTTAGCATATATTCTTTTACATGAATGAAATCAGTTCTCACCAATAAGATATTTGAGTAGCGGAACGCAACCTCCATTGTGCTTAGCACCAAGAGTGTATTCCACAAATGCATCATAAAATTCAACTACTTTATCGAGAGATTTTACGCTTCTTGCAATTTTGTCATAAATCTCTGGCAATTCAACTATTCTCTCGGTCAATTCTCTCTTAATTCTAACACCAGAAATACCCAGTTGTTTGCAAAGATTGTTGAATTCCGATTTTGCTATGTTCTCAGACTTTTTATAATCAGCTTTTTTCTTCCCAAGTTCCTGTGAAACAGTAAAATGGTTTGATTTACTACAAAATCAGAATAATATTACAACAAAAAATTAATTTACATTTTTGGTCTGTTCCAATTTTTGGATTAGTTTTTTAATGCCTGGAACTTCATAATTTATATTTCTTATAAGCATCTGTGCTGCTTCTGCAAGGTACACATTATCTTTTTCGTACAAGTGAACAATCTCTTGCCAGTCTTTCATCCTTTGGGAGCCATAGCGCCCAAACAAATTTTTAGTGTCGGCTTCGGTTTCTTTCAATATCTCGACGATTTTCTTGCAATGAAAATAATTGATATCTAAAAGTTGATAAATCACATTTTTAATAGTAAATACTTTATAAACTTTAAAGTATAAACTGAACATACGCGTGCCAGAGAGCAATTGTGCAATTTCCTGGTGAGCAGGCATATCTTGTATGGCATTGTTGATTTTTTCTCGTATTTTTAACACATGCGTTTGCCAGTCTTTTTGACAGTGCCTTCTGTTTATTAGCCAATCCAACAGCTTACCACTATTTATATCAATCGGAATGTCTTGTTCCTACGTGAAAAACAAATTTTGAATCAACAAAACAAAAGTAATAAAAATGAGGGTCTTTTTAAATATGTCTAAAACAATATTTTATATCGAAAATTCACTTGTTTATTTACTTTTACGATGTAAAGTTGAAATTAACGAATCATCATAAAAAAAGAAAAGTTTAATAAAACTCATACTGCGTTATAAACATTTTTTACCTCCATCTCCTATAGGAGTACTGAAATTTTGTAAAAAAACACGAAAAATGTTAATAAACTTGGCAACAATCCACTAAATCATCACAGCTGGCGGGCACACTCGACACTCGTGACACGATTTTTGTTTGGAAACTGTTTTTACATATGTAGCAGACACCTCTGCTCCAAAACATATCATATATTGAGGTTAGGTAGGTTAGGACTTACTTACGAAGAGAAAAAGGAATGATATGAGAGACATGCTGCGTGTCATGCACTACCGATACGCGGACTCATGCCTAATTAATTTTTACGAGTACTTGTGTAAAAATAATTGAAAAAAATAACGAATCAATGTACTTTTGTGGCAAGTACATTCACTTGGACTTGGAGAAAAAAGTTTTTAATGAATGATCATTTATAAGAAAGTAAGGATCAGTTGAAACAAGCGGATTCTTTAATGTATAGAACTGTACTTTGTTTTATATTACATGTGTATGAAAAAATCACACAAGCATAAAAAGCCTCACATTCATATCTTCAATATTGAATCATATAATAATACAACTATGCAGTATTAAAGTTATAACCATTTAATTTAAAAACAAAATAAACACATCTAACTGATCTTTCATGTGTATTCAACACTTCACAATATGTAGTCTCTTTTTTTTTTGCTCCTTTTGTTCAACTCAAGTCCTCATTTTTTGAAATGAAATCGGAGCAAAGGGCTGATTGTATAATTCCCTTACAAAATAATCCTGTATCTTTGACTTGTGTCGCAAATTTACTTTAAAGGATAGTATGGTGTCTTCTTATCGGAGAAGAAATTCTTGAGGACCGTAACTTGAAGTATGCTGGAAACAACAATGGTCAGAGCTTCGGTGATAGACCACCACATTACACGTTCGTTTAGATCTTCAGCTCTCTTGCGGCTTTGAGCCTCCCTCAGTCGATGATGCGTCTGGTAATCAATAATAGAGTTGAGATTCTTATGAATCTCCTGGCTGGAAGTTTCCATCTGTAATAAAATAAAAATCATGAAGATTCCAATGTATAGATTGAAACAGTGACAAAGAAAAAAAACACCGATTGAATGGTACATTAACAAACCTGAGTCATAACAGTAGCGTGCTCTCCAAGACCAGGCAGGGGTTGTTCTTCGCCAATATTGAAGTCCATGTAGACAAGCTTGTGCGAGAAGGTCGAGAATTCATTGCTGAAGCATAGACCATAAACTCCAGACATGTTAGCGGTAAAGGTATGCGAGTCGTATTGCATCTTCATTTGCCTGTAGATGATTTCTCTGGTTGGTGACTCCAAAGACACATCTACATCGTATTGGCCTCCTGTCACGACCTAAACAAACACAATATTACTAGTACATCTGTTTGAATGAAAAGAAATCTGTCAGTGATACTATACTATTATAGGTACGCCAATAAGGCGCTGCCGGTAGGATTATATTACCTGAAACTCGATCGTGGCGGTGTCACCCTTTTGGATAACATCGTAGAAGCACTCCCGGGCATTATCGGGCAGCTCGAAGGTTAACTCGACTCCAGCAGCACGAAACACCAGCCCGGAAAACGAGAGTAGCAGCAGAAGCCAATCGCTCATACTGTGCATGCTTTATTTCCTCAATTATCTTCTCTAAAACAACACCTATATGTGAGAAATTACCTATCAAATGTACAATTCGTCACTCGCGGCCGCGCTTATGTTAACATGAAAGGCTCTCGCGGATGCCTTTTCTTTTCTCAACGCGACGATGATTTTCTTGCGAGTCAGAAGAAATGCTGTGCCACCAGACGATGACAACCACACAGCCGAGTTGACATTGCGCGCGATTACAACTAACGTGGCCAAAGATACGAGTACGTGTCGCCGCCGCTGCTACGTACACGGTCCACCTATGCCTGCAAATTAATAACCCTGTGTTTATCGTCGTACAACAGGTATAAGTAGTGTATATCGGGTGAATCGGGTCGTTCGCTAAAGAGGCCGTATTTTCATTAGGTTAATCCAGTTAGGTGCGATTAAATGTGTCACACCTATCACCTATGTAATCAAGTATAGATCATAGGTATACATGCGTTATGTTTGTTTTTTAATTCACAATTATTTTTTTACTCGTCCAGGACAATCTGATATTATAACTCTGAAGTATACAAGAGTAATAGGGATCATTCTTTTGAAAAATGACAATTGGAGCTTGAAAGTTTTTTTTTGTCATTCACTCTTTCAAAAGCCCTATCTATGAATTATTCTTTTTGTATAACTCGTTTTTGAATTTCACTAGGTAATCTAACACTGGGTGTTTTCTGCAATCGTCACCAGCAAGTATAATAGTGGGTTTCGCTCTACGTTACCATCAGGTCGGTAAGCCAACTACCTTGAATTAACTGGCGCTCTGTTCCGTAATCTGCAATTGCTGGTGACGATTGCGGAAAACACCCTTATAGGGGTTACCACCACGACCTACGTAACTTTACAGCCTCTGATTTTATCATTCTGGTAAAGAGAGCACGGTGTAAGATGTACGTGAAGTTATGTGTAGTAATTAAAGTAATTACTAATGTTCGATTTTATTAAACCATATGAATATCTATATTTTTAGAGGTAGACTTTTTGGTTAAGAAATAGATTGTAAACATGTCGCAAACAGCACAGACCACGTCAACTTTTTATTATCTATTTATAAGATTAGTTGCGGCTGGTTTATAATTGATTAAATGGCTCTAATATAAGAAGTAATAATTATTTAGATCAGCGCCATCTAGCGGTCTAAATTTTTTGGCCAAAAGTGGCTCCCAAAATTCTGAATCAGAGCAATCAGGATTAGAGCCATTTAATCAATTATAAACCAGCCGCAACTCATGATAAATTTACAAAATAAAAAAATAATAATACGTGTGTTTTTGGCGGCAAGATAACAATTTATTATTTACCAAAAAATTGACCTCCTATGTGTTTATACTTTTGAAGATAAATTTTCGAGCATAAGGTAGATTGTTTACTTGCCGCCAAAAACACATATAACGTTATTTTTTTATTTTATAGCTTCGTCATGAGTTGCGGCTGGTTTATAATTGATTAAATGGCTCTAATCCTGAATGCTATGATTTAGAATTTTAGGAGCCACTTTTGGCCAAAAAATAAAGACCGCTAGATGGCGCTGATCCAAAATAATTATTGCTACTTACAGTAAAGTCATTTTAATAGTTATAAACCAGCCGCAAATAATCTTGTAAATAGACAATAAATAGTTGACATTTTTTTAGCTACTTGCGGCAAGTTTACAATTTATCTCTCACCTTAAAATCGACCTCCAAAACCATCAATATTCTACTGATATTATATGGCTCATAACATCGATAAGGTGATATTTATAAGGTTTCGCTCTACAGCTGTTTTAACTGGCCAGATTACGGAATAGAGCGCCAGTTTAATTCTAGGTAGTTGACTTACTGACCTAACGGTAACGTAGAGCGCAACCTTAAATTATGCTTGCTGGTGACGATCTGACGATTGCGGAAAACACCCGCTATTCCGTATTTGCAAAGATGTCTGCATTACTTACTACAGGCTATGCAATTCGTGTGCGTGTCATCTGCAGTGATCTAACTTACCTTGTGGGAAAACGACAACAGAGCTTAGCTCTAACTGGTACAGATGGCGATACCTTCACTTCTAATTACGAAAATAGCGCGCGGAAAAACATGGTTTTCGCTGTTAGATAAAGTTTAATTTGAGTCACAGGAGAAAGGGATTATTTAATAAGTATGAAAAGTCAAGTGATTTCAAGTCCAACGTGTAGGTACATAGTAAAATAACAATCGATGATATTAATGAAACATTTGTGTGCGCATTGTACTTGTTACGAATTATCCTAAATTATGGCAAATGGTGAGTCACTATTTAATTTCACAATCACTATGAAGCACACACACACACACGTTAATCACTAGGTTAAATTTTCACAATGAGAACTCGTGAATCTCGTAAAAACTAACAACGAAAATCCCTTCGTACACCTACTTGATTGGAGAGTATACTCCCTCTTTTGTGAACTAAATAAAAAAATATAAAAGACCGATAAGAGAAACACTTGGTATTTCTGCTATTGTTTAATAATAAAACAAATTAATTTTGTATTTGCTAATTGACTTTTCATACGTGCATGTTAGAGAGAGAGAGAGAGCGTGTTGAAGTCGGAAAAGAAAAACCAGATGAAAAGCCGGCTGGTTCACAAAGTTATAAAAAATTAAAAAATGCTAACTGTTAGTACCAGATTTACTACATATTTTTGATTTGAATCTACCTGAAAATCTACGGAGAATATTTCTTTAAAAACTGTATTAGGTAACAACATTTCAAAATGTCGAAATGCGACTGCAATATCAAGCTATAATTTATACATTCGGCAGTATTTGAACCATTCGATGAAAAATTAAACGTGATACGTCTGGGTCAGAACAAAAATGAAAGGAGTAGGCTCGCCAAAATACGTATAGGCATACAAGCTGTTCAACCTGCTCGTTTGAATGGAAAAATCATCGATCGGCTGCCGATGGGTCCTGGGTCGCTTCATTAGGCCCATATCGAACGATTGACTCGTTTTCAAAGCGACGTCTAAAAATTCTATACCTCCCCGGCGTACTTATGAGAACCCACACGCGAAAGAAGAAGCTCATAACGTATATTGTTACAACATGCCACTGCGGTTCTGTACTTATACGTATGCGTACATTTCTACCCGTACAGCCGATGCTCCGACTTTTTTTACCAACGATGGTTGGAACAATGACTCGAATGGTTGGTAAAATGTTCCTTCAATAATTTTACCCTAAAAGTGGCAGTTGTACGAATAATTGTATTGACAATCAGCCTCTAAAAGAAGTTGTTACTTCTCATATGCATAATATTCATCATGTTCTGTGTGGTCCTGATCCACAGGACACTCTAAAACGTGTTAAATTGAATATTTGTAAGTTATTTTTGAACGTACAAAGGTAATCGTAAAACATCATCGGTTGTATTGACATTGTTATACATGCCTCATTCTTAATGAAGCAGTTAAAATAAAATGAAGTTTCGATTGAAATATTGATAGCGTGGAAAAAAAACTTAGGAAGCCTCAACACATTATAACACTCCTACAATATTCTAGTGTATGCACAAGGTATAGAGACCTCGGTATACATTGTCTCCTTTCTTTCGTCCAAAAACTGACTAAAAAAAAAAAAAATAAAATAAAATAAAATAAATAAATAAAGAACTTTCGACAATTTTTATGGTCACCAGAGCCATGGGATACATACGTCCCTCTTGAAAACACCACAAGGTGAGCTACACGCGATAAAAAGATTGTCGAAACGCACGCTTGAGTAGAGAGAGAGAGCTCTTCCCCAAAGAACGATGGCAATCGAGGCGGAGGAGGAGGAGAAGGAGGGCTTTTGAAGTTATTCGGTTCGTTGGTGTAAAAAACTAAAAAATAGCAAACTTCATCGAAAGCGTGTGTAGAAAAGTTGGTGCAGGTATACCCAATGAGCTAAATCGTGCGAGGGCGAGGGGCTCCGGTTTTAAAGAGAGGAGAGAAAAAATCGTGCAGCAGATCTCCGGTATCAGAAAGAAACGGGCCGCCTCGAGCTACCGGGTAGGTCCGTCGCTATTGATGAAGACGACAACGTTGCTTACTTATTATATTGTACATGTATTTAGGTGGAAAGAAGTGGATGTATGTATGGTACGGACCGCAATGCTCCCGGGCTCTCGAGTTTCAGGGTCCTTTTCTGAGAAACGTCCCGAGAATGAAGTGGTGGTGGATTGCGTGAGCACGTACTTCGACGACGGGCGAAGTTTCCGCTCTGGTTGTCGAGACGAGCGAGGCGTGTGTGTACTTACATGCAATATTGTTCACGTTAGTCTGGCTGGGATGTGATTCACTTGGCGACGATGAAGAGTCAATACCTACTTACGTGTGGTTTTTGTAACTATATGAAGTTCAACGTTGAGGTTTTACTTGCCAGAAATTCCCACACGCCCTTTTCCCTCTTGTTCGTTGCGTGCTGCGCTGTAACACTTTGCTAAATATTTTCGTCTTTTGCACTGTTTTCACGTGTCAGTTGATATAATTTACGAGAAGCGTTTTGGATTGAACGAAGTTGCAACGCGTCTGTGACTCCCATTTGAGATATTTTTCAGAACTGCATTGAAAATTAGTCGAGCACATGCGAACTTGAGCTTATGAATATGCATTTTATACGTTAGGTATATTTTCTTGTGGTAACATTAGTATTTAACTACGGAATGTCATATCAGGCAACATATCTATCCATTAAATCATTACGGTGCTGTTCTATTTTCTTATTAAAATTAGTGAAAGATACAAAGACCTTGATTTGCAAAAAAGTGATTTTTTTAATATACTTTTTTTCATATCTATCGAAATATTGTAGCATATATTATTTTACATCAGAATTAGCATTATACGAAATATTTTGTGCAACAAACCAAATTGAAGGTAAAGAAAATTAAAATAAAATACATTCGTAGAAGATTTGAAATGTCAAGATTTAAAACAGTAAAATGAAATTATTGAGTTGTGGTAATATCATATGGACAAATGTAACCCCATTTAAGCGACGAAAGCATATTGAGAGAGTGTGCTCCAGTAGGGATAAAAAAAAGCTTGTAGGTAATGTTGAGGCATGAATATGAATTTAAAACATTTGAAGATCGTAAATCAAGTGTATTTTTCGGATAAACAGTTGCAAACATTGTTATGAATTCATTTTAAAAATCATTGAACTGACCAACATCAATAAAACACAGTTGCGTTGATTGAGATAAAAAAAAGCTGGCATATGATTAGATTAATCGCTCCATGCGCGTGTGCGTGTGTTTGACTCCGTACG